GGGACACAGGCCCACTGAAGGACTGAGATTTAATCATGAAGTTACAGACCACGAGCTCTCCCCCACACTTACAACTACACCCACAGGGCTCCAGTGCAGAATAGTGAATTAAAGCTGAGAGAGCTGCCAGATGCACTCCCTGACGAGGAGTACTTAGGGAAGCCCAAAGCCAACGCAGCGCATGAAAACAAGGACGGTGGAGGGATTTGAACCCTCTGGCACCTACAGCTACAACAGGGCTCAACTCATAGCCAGATTAACAAAAACCTCACATTAAAGGCATATTTACCTTAGTTCCTAGTACTCTATACAGCATGTCTATTAATAGCATCAATAAAAAATTACAAGGCATGCTAAAAGGCATGATAGGAACATAGTCTGAAGAGACAAAGCAAGCATCAGAACCAGACTTCCATGTGACACAGATGTTGGAATTACCAGCCAGGGAATTTTAAATAACCATGATTATGAATTTAAAACTAATAAAAATATTAGATGGTAACAGTAAAATCTTGCCTAATAACTTAATGAAACAGCAGCTCTACAGAGGTGGAATTCCCAAACACAGTACAGATGTGGACATCCCTGGCAAAGGGAAAAAGGGGTGACAAGCTGGCCCCTCCAACAGCTTTGGACCTTGTCTGCTGCTGCAAATCTTCGACTCCACTTTGCCTTTTGAACATTTCCCTCTTTTACATAAAGGGTAAAGCCTTACAATTGTATTTCCTAGGCAGGCAGCACAACATGGCATCTCTTCTGTAAATAATCTAGCCAATCAAATATAGACCCCACCTCCTTTCAAGTGGCATTCTCTAGGAAGGAGCCACTCATTTACTGCTACCTCAGCTCTTATTGGTCTGTGTTATCAAAACCTTTCCTCCAATTTCCATACCATTTGCACAAGGAACTGCAGGCACCAGCTCTTTTCTTTTTAATCCTTCCCTTTCATCTGCTGAAGTGGCTGGGTGAAGAACAGTCTATAATTCATGCTTGAGCATTCCAAGGTGGGTTTTGCCCCCAAACTGTTAGGTTCTCTACTACTTCTCTTTGAACAAAATTCCAGGCATGCATATCATTAAAATCTCACTTTTTAAAAATATTTAAGATTAAATGTTTTTGCTAGTCATTGCCTGAGACTCAACTTTCTCATGGAATTTCTCTCTTTCTTTCCTAAAAGACTACATATTTTGGGTAAGTCCTTGGTCCATACACTGACTAGAGGAGTTTACACTGTGGGCAGGAAGATAAGGGAAAAAAAAAATTACTAAATTATAATCAGATTCCTTAGGGTGGGTTCTGTTATTATTTAACCATATCCTCAGGTTAAGCTTAACTTAGGAAATAGTCTTTTTGCAAAGTTATGGTACTGCAGCTCTTTAACAACATTTTCTTGTGCTGCCCTTTTCTTGTGCATAAATGTTAAGTTTCTCTTTTGAACTGGGCAAACATCCCCACAACCTTCTCTTTTACTTTTGGCAAGAGAATTCTAACCAATTCCCACATGCCAGAGCCTCTAGGACCCTCTTAGCTCCCTTAACGGTGTCTGTATAAACGCTACGTACAAATTATTCCACTTTACCGTGTGCACTCGTGTGACCCTGCGAATAAGGGACATCTTGAGTTGTGTGCCCGTCACATCGCTTGCCTCACCCCAGTCCCACCGTGGCACCAGTGCCTACTCACCTCCTGACCCTGACAGCCTTAGACCCCAGTGGACTGTCGTCAGAATGTCCACAGCTGTCTGTCCTCACTACCACTTCTACTTGCCATCAGTCACACCTTCGCTGCTCTCCTGTTGTCTCGTTAGTTTATTTGTTCCATTCTTTCTTTTTTTTTGGGGGGGGGGTTCCAAGTAAAAAAAAAAAACCCTAAAAAATCCCAAAAGTGACAGGTGATGCTCATTACTCCGGTAGGCTCGGTGGCTCTTCTTAGCGGTGTTTATTGTTCCTGGGCACAAAGACGCTGCTCCTTCACTTTCCTGGCTGTCTGGAGGAGGCCACGCAGAGCGTCAGCCTTCCTAGAAGGTGGAGGTTTCTGAAGTGTGAAACTCGGACGGCTCAGACTGACTGTCGTGCATAGTAACGGCAGCTCTTCCGGGCTTCTCCCGCCACGCGTTAGCAACGCGGCATTAGCAGACACTACCTCATTACTAGGCCACTGACCTGCTGTTTTTATGCAGTATATATCAGAGTGTTTATGGCAATTTTTCCAAAAAGCCAGAGTAGGTTTTAAATTCCAGGACTATGATTTTTTTTTCATCTCTTCCAATTTAAATAATCTGCTTCTTATCAAAAGGGTGCAATGAATAGTAAGATGGCCCTGAATAAGGACCACCAAGTGACACCTCTGCTGTCCCTACACCTCAGGAGTCTGAGTTGTCAGGTTATAAGGGAACAGCTTGGTAGCTGGAGCTGTGGTGAGCTTGCAGACTTGACCCGGTGCTCCCTGACTGCCCACCTTCTTTCAAGCTGGCTTTCCCGACACAGCTCAGTTGAGGGCGCCAAAGAGCATCAGCTCCAGGAGCTCCTTCTAGCCCATGCCATTCACTACGAAAAGAAAACCTATTAGAGCTAAAGAATGCACAGGTAAAGCAGTGACAGCAAATTTGCCATTGGCATTCAGAAACACCAATGGAGAGTCAAGAAATAATGAATTATGCTGAGGCACCTGAAATCAAATGAGAACTGCAGTCTTAAGAACACAGAGGGACCTGCACGTTGGAAAGCACTCCAAGTTTCCTCACTCCCCAGCCCTAGGCATACGCAGTCAGCCACCAACCAGAGCTTGCTGAGGACCTACTAGGCGCATGGTTCTGCTCCCTGGGCAGTGGAGAACTCAAGCACAAACAGAGACAGTAGTTCCTATTGATGATTCTATCTGCCCCTAATCTTAAGGTACATGTGAGTCTTTCTTTAACTCAACATACTTGCTGTCCACAGCACTGCTGTAGAGGAACTGGGCAGCTCTCAGGGTTTGGGGACACAGGAACACTGTCCACGTGCTTGTGCTGCCCCGCAGCTCCTCCCAGCCACCTGGCTGCATGCCTCTGTGTGCAGACTGTCCACAGCAGTCTATCGGGTGGAAAATAGGAGCCTTGGGTAGAATACGAATCTACGGGATTCACTCTATTGGTACCAAGCCAGTCCTCAGTGCTCATCCACCCTCACTTTATTAATTGCATATTTTATTTTGAAAAACACTTACATAGCACTTAAAATGTACTGGACCACTTAAAATGTACTGGGCACTGTCCTAAGTGCATTATAAATATTCATTCATTTAATCTTCACAGCAAGCCTATAAGCTATCATTATCCTAATTTGAAGATGAGGACACTGAGGCACACAGAGGTTAGGCAACCTGCCCAAGGCCATTGCTAACACATGGTGGAGTTAGGACTCAAACTCTTGCAGTCTAGCTCTAGTCATTAACCACTGAGCAAAATATTTAACAAAAGGGGCTGAGGCATTCATTTGAGTAAGTAACATGCCTTTCTGAGGGCAGCCACACTATTTAACCAACAGTCTCTAGTGCAGAAGCTACAAGAACAACAACATAAAGATACGAGGCAACCAGCAGCTGCAGTCCCACATACACGGCATCTCCTGTCTTTGGTGGGAATACCTACCGGTCAGCCCAAAACACCTCTCCCAAGCCAGGCAGATCTGTGCTGATCAACACGGGAGCCACTAGGCACTTGTAGCCATTTACATTTAAATTATAATTAAATAAAATTAAAAATTCAGTTTCTCAGTGACACCAGCCACATAACAAGTGCTCAACAGCCACATGGGACTAGTCGCCACCATACTGGACAACACAGAGAGAGACCATTTCCACCATCACAGAAAGTTCTAGGGGCCAACACTGAGTTAGACTCTTAACATGATTTCTTTTTACCCTTTAGTCTGAATACATTTAGTGGTAATAATTTCATCTTTTCCCCCATTATGAATACACAAAATTCATTACATTTCTTTATAAAGCAAATTTTTATGCCAAAGTTCAGTTCCAAAGGGTAGAGTGGATTATGTATAAGCAGGTCAAGTAAACCCCTTGCCCCCCAGTACCTGGTACCCAGAATGTTAATATGTCTTCTCCTATTACTATAATAATGACTGAAAGTTTAAAATCAGCGAGGAAAAAGGAATTCATTAAAAAGTGCAGCAGAAAGCAAAATCAATTTTGCTCACAGACTGTACCTTTGTGTTGGACATTAAACTCGGGACATGCGTTCAACGGGTCACAAGGAAGCTTGACAAGAGAGGGTGGCTAAGTCCATGCAAACTAATACCTCTGTCAGAAGAACAGCTCAGACACGTGTGCTACTACACAAAGTGGGTCATACACTTCCAGGCTTTGAAAAAAAGCACCCACACAAAAACAGGTCAAATACAACGGAAGCCATGTGGCCCAGGGACAGTGGTGCCAAGTTTCCCACTGCTAGTAGCAAATATTTTCTTACAACAATTTCTAGCATCCTGAGCCCCTATTACTAGTACCACTGTTCCATTTCATGTGGGATAATGTGAAGCAGAAAAGCTGCAATTAAAAAGTGAACAATTTAGCAATAAAGCTCAAATTTTACGACATTTTCATAGCTAAGGAATCTAAAATGCAAAATTTTTCCTTCTAAATCCTCAAGCTGAAGTCCACGGAAGCATGGAAAGACTACCCTTATGACGAGTAGGACTTGTCTTGTTTTAACATAGATCTTTGTTCATTCTAAAAATTCTCTTCTCTCTGTCCTTTTCTCCATTTCTTCTCTCACCCTTACTGTCTATCCCATTACTTTTAGTAACACAATTGAATTTTTATGAAATCTTGTGATATAGTAGAACTTTTTAAAAAAATTTCAGATAAATGAGGCATCACTTACCAAGCAGGCCTAATAAAATGATTAATGTCTAGACATCTTAAGTTATAAAAATATCACAAGCTCCTCATAATATGCACACTTTAAAAAAAGATGCAATAATAGTAATAATTATATTACATACTTGTGACTTCTTGTAAGAAATCCAAACACGGTCGACTACTTCCAGAAATACTTATTGAAACAGCCAGTGGGGTCTGTCCTTCATAGTTCCTTGTGTTCGTGTCCGCTCCATAATTATATAACATCCGTGCACAAAGCACATCATCCCTAAGGGCAGACAAGTGTAAAGGAGTCTGTCCATCTTCTAAGCGGCCCAAGTTTGTGTCTGCCCCTCTCTGAAGGAACATGCGGCAATAAGAGTGATTGCTTTTGATCACAGCATATCGCAACAGGAAGCCATTCTGAATGTCGATGTTGGCGTTGTGGTCCAGGAGGATTTTGACACAGCTTGACCTCTCTCGGATAATGGCGAGCTGAAGCGGCGTTGTACCTTTATCACTGAGTGGGTCGACCTCAGCCTTGAACTCCAGTAGAAGTCGGACAAATGAGTCCCTACCATAGTGGGCAGCCACATGGAGGGGAGTCCAGCCATCATTGCTTTTTGCATTAATGATGTCGCTCCTGTATTCAGATTCTAACATCAAGCGTGCAATCCGGGCCCGGCCATGCATGGCTGCGTAATGAAGAGCCGTGAAGCCTCCGATTAAGTCCTTAACTGTGGGATCAGCTAGAGTTAAAACCAAAATGAAAATATTAGCAGACTCTAAGACAAAACAACAAACACTACCACGGCACAGGACATTTTAGCCAATTCGCATATAAAATGTGAAGCAATCAAATATTATGATGAACATGAAGTACTTTTTTCTTCAGTTTAATTCAAGTCTAGTTTTAACAGGAAACCAATTTAGTAGAAAGTTATCAAGTCTGAGTTAAGAGAAGGAGACAGACAAGAAACATGGAGTTCAGACCACCACATCCCCCTCTTTGCTAATTTAACCAACTGCCTTTGGCTACTCAACTCCCTCTTCTCTGTATTGTTGCATGTTTCTTTTCTGTTTTGAACTTTTTGTTTTATTTTCTCTTATGCTGCTTCTTAGTCTTAAGGAGAAGCATGTGTAGCAACATCTGCTGTTCTAAATTACGGATGTACTATGGTCTGGCAGACTCTGTTGTTTTAGGGTGTATTAGGTTAAAAAAAAGTTTTTCTGTGGTCTGTGCAAATTCCAAAGCATGTAAGATATCTGTGAAGTGATCTTGATAAAGTGTATTTTCATAAGATAAAAGTCTATTCTGAATTCTTAGTTTTACATGAACTTTGGAGTTTATAAGAATTAAGCAACACATTATGTGAAAAATTGGGAGAAACCTCAGCACTGTATAAATATTATTTTCTAAAACAGTTCCAAAAACCTCTCCTAAATTGACTGATTTCTGGGGAAGAAAAAACAACTATAATTTATCTGCTATGTGACCACTCAAGTCACAGACTTTTGTCACTGGCCTCAGCTCTTTCGTTAAGCCAAAGGTCAGTTCTTTGCAGCTCTCACCCCAGTGGTATCCCTGAGCAATGGGCAGAACAGGGACAAGAACTGCATAGGCAGACCATCTCCTGAAGGCCGGCAGTTCAATGAAGAAGATAAATTGATCAGCCTTAACTACCTAAGATTAAAATGTGTTCTTATAAAAGTTGCCCTTAATTTTTGGTTTGTTAATGAAGGAGAAAAACTCACTAATGTTTTTCACACACATACACATACACTCCTGAAGTACGTGAGTAAACACTCATGTATTGTTTACCAAAATGTTATTTAGATCTAGAACATACAATGATGTTCTCTCAGAAAAATCCAGGAGGCAGAAAACTATATGTAAAATAGTAACAGTGTGGAGAGTGAATATTTCTGTTAAGAATGAGTTGCTAACAAAACCCACAAAAGTTACTTTTTTTAAGGTAAGCTATATCATTTGGATTTCTAAAAATATTTAATATAAAGTGACAGTACACAATGGTAGTATTATTTTTATCTATTTAGAGGAAACGAGGGTATCATACCTCTCTTGGTGTTAACTAAAAGAAAATATACAGTATCTATTTACTATGTGACTTAAAAAAGCAAGGCAAGAACATTTTAATAAAGCATTTTGCTGCCATCTACTGGTAAGGCATGAACATGAGCTACTAATGTTTCCATTTTGACAGATGCTGCTGAGCCTTCAAAGTCACTCCAATCTGTTTTAGATACATCTCTTACTGAAAGTTGACTAAGTGAATACAGGCATGAAATCTATAAGATCTCCTCCTATTCAAATGAAACAATAAATCTTGCCAAAGGTCATTTCTAATCTATACCTGGCTAATCACTATTTGCAGACATTCCCTCTTAATCTGTGAGTGAAATTTAAGAATACCTTCTTTCACTTCTCCCTCCTTTCATCCACCAAGGGTGCCTTTAAAGGTGCCAGCCAACATCCTTATTTGCATCCTATACTCGGTCTAGTTAATGGCAAAATTACAATTATGTTACATGAAATTGTACTTGCATCCTTGGTCTCCACTTTAGGTCTTTTTTAGGTTCTATTTACATTTTGGTGCTATACTGAACCAAGGAAAAACAGAGATTAACACACAATGACCTGCTTAGTCTCAGTAAAAGTCATCCAAATGAATTAAATGAGTACATAGTATAGAATGAAGAGCTGCAGGATAACAATGCATAAAATTTATCCTCAAGGAAATAAGAAAATGGATTATAAGGAAAATACAAACAAAATTTAATTTAAGGATTATTATTAGCCAATGCAATAAGACAAGAAAAAGATTTAATTTGTAATACTAACAGAAACCACAAAATGTCTAGATAAAAATTCAGTAAGAAATATGCAAGGCACATGCAAAGAAAATTTCTTTGAACAGAACTCACTTCATCTGTATGCTCAAATGTCCTTTCATCAAAAAAGCCTCCCCTCGACACTTCGTCTAAAATAGCAACTCCACCAAACTTATTACTTTGTCCACTTAGCAAACATTTTACCCCCAGGTGGGACTTATTTTAAACAAGGTATAGTATAATTTCAACAAACTCTAAATTTACTAAAAAAACTTGAAATATATATGAATAAAAGAAACATTCCCTACGAATATAGTTTCTTTTTTTTCTAACAGGTTTATTGAGGTAAAAATAAAATTCACTCATTTTAAGTGTGCACATTGATGAGTCTTGATAACTGAATACAATCATATAACCCACCACCATGGTAAAATACAGAACATTTCCATCATCTCAAAAAGTTCCTTCATCCTTCTTTACAGTCAATTCCCTGCCAAGACTATGGCCCTAGCAAATCACTGGTTAACAAAATAAAATTTTGCCTTTTCTGGAAATTCATATAAATGAAATCATTTATAGACTTTTGTGTTTTAATTGTTTCACAAAAGCATGATGCTTTTGAAATACTTGCATGTTGTGTATAGCCACAGTTCATTCCTTTGTATTGCTGAATAGTATTCCATAATATAGATATATAATTTCTTATCCATTCATGAGCAGATGGACATTTGAGTTATTTTGAATTTGAGGCTATGTGAGTAACGTTACTATGAACATCCATATACAAGTGTGCGGGGATATATGTTTTCATTTTACTTGGTTTTAATACCAGGAGAGAATTGCAGGGTCATATGTTATATACACATTAAATTTTATAAGAAACTGTCAAATTATTAGTTTCTAAGTGGCTGTACTATTTTACATTCTCACCAGCCATGCATCAGAGTTCTAGTTGTTCTACATCTTGGCATCATTAGTAATTTTAATTTTACCCATTCTAGAGAGGGTAAAATAGTGGCTTATTGTGCTTTTAATTTACATTTCCCTAATAACTAGTGATATTGGACATATTCATATACTTCCTTTTGTAAATAGTCTGTTTACGTCCTTTACCCATTCCCATTGGTTGTCTCCTCATTAATGAGTTTTCAGAATTCTTTATATATTCTGGATTCGAGCCCTTTGTCAGATGTTTGATAAATATTTTCTCCTAGTTTGTTGTTTGCCTTTTCATTTTCTATACTGTATTTTGAAGAGCAAATTTTTAATTTTCATGAAGTCCGTTACGTTTTTTTGTTTACAGTTTGTGGTTTTTGTGTACTATTTTAAGAAATCTTTGCCCAACACAATGTCACAAAGATTTTCTGTTTTCTTCTGGAAATTTTGCACTTTTAACGCAAGTTTAGGTCAATGATCCGCTGCTAGTTAATTTTTGTATATGGTGTAAGGTAAGATTGAGGCTCATTATTTTCCATATCTTATAACAGATATCTATTTGTTCCACCAAATTTTATTAAAAAGACTATCTTTTCCCAATGATTTACCCTGGCACTATTGCTGAAAATCTATTTACTACAAAAGTCCAGGTGTATTCCTCAAGTCTATTTTGTTCCATTGATCTAAAAGAATCACTGTACACCAATCTCAGACTGTCTTGACTATTGTAGCTTTATAGTAAGTTTTGATAGTAGATAGTGTAAGTTTTCCAGCCTTCTTTAAAATTATTTTGGCTAATAAATTTTAGAATTAGCTTGTCAATTTCTTCAAACAAGACTGCCAGAATTTTGATTGGAACTCCACTGACTCTGAAGATGGCAATCTCCCCCAAAATGACCTAAACAATATTAATTCCTCCAAACTATGAACATGGAATGTTTCTCCACTTACTTAGGTCTTCTTTAATTCCCCTCAGCAATGTTTTGTCATTTTCAGTGTATAGGTGATACACACCTCTCATTAAATTTATTCCTAAGCATTTTAAATTTTGTTGCTATGATAATGAGTTAAAATTTCATTTTCCAAATGTTAATTGCTGGTAAAGAGAAATAAAATTGATTTTTGTACATTGACCTATGTATCATTTTTGTAGATTTCTTACAATTTTCCTCATGCACAATTATGTTCTCTTCAAATAAAGACAGTTTTACTTCTTCCTTTCAAATTCATGACTTTTAATTATTGGTCTTCCTTTATTTCAATGGTTAGAACCTACAGCAGAATATTGAATAAAGTGGTAAAAGTATATACCCTTGCCTTGGTTCCTGATCTTAAGAGAAAGCATTCAGTAGTTCACCATTGAGTATAATGTAAGCTGCAATTTTCATAGATGCCTTTAATCAGGTTTTAGAAATCACCTTCTGATTCTCGTTTGCTCAGTCTTTATCATGAATGGGTATTTAATTGTCACATGCATTTTCTACATCTATTGAAATGGTCACTTGGTATTTATATTTTATTCTATTAATATGGTAACTTACTTATCCTATAAATTTTTAGATGTCAAATAAAACTTGCATTCCTGGGATAAATATTACTTGGGCATAACACGACATCCTTTTTTATATACTGATAGATTGGATCTGCTAGTGTTTTGTTAAGAATCTCTGTATCTATTATCACGAAAGATGCTGGACTATGGGTAGACTATGCAGATGAGGGGGCAAAAAAGATATTGGTCTATTTAGTTTTCTTGCAATGTCTTTGTTTGGTTTTATACCTGGGCAATGTAAGCCTCATACAGTAAGCTTGGGAGTGTTCCCTCCTTTGCTTTATCAAAAAGTTTGTGTAAGATTATTATTTATTCTTTTAATATTTGAAATAATTCAACAGAGAAACTGGCAGGGCCTAAAGTTTTCTTAGTGAAAAGTTTTAGTTATGAACTAAATTTCTTAAATTG